GTACCTTACAAGAAAACCCATGTCCCTCTCTAATTTCGATAATCTCTGAATATGTTGTTTAGACAAAAATAAGGAACATTTTTTTTATAAAGATCCAATCACACTTTTAAAAGGTTTAAAAAATTTATTTACATTTCAAACTTTTGTTTATAAAAAATAAAAATTAAAAATGTTTTTTCTATATTTTTTTATCTCTTACAGTTTCAATTATATATAGGTTTGTTCGCGTCGCAAGCTCCAATATGCTCCTACTATAACTCCTATTCACTCTATCAAGCGCGTTGGAATGAGTAAGAGCTGGTAGGAGCATATTACAACATGTTAGAGCACGCGAACAAATCTTATATTTGCTTAAAAAAAAATCGATTTTTTTCAAAGCATCCCTTAAAGTGCACTTAAAAGTGTGATTGTATCCTTATAAAAAAATATGTGTCCTTTATTTTCATTTAGAAAACACCATATTCACAAATCAAAATTAGAAGGAGATACTTCTAATTTAAAAGTGAGTTTCCTTATAGTTAACATATTAAATACTAATAATTATTAACTCATTACATACTGAAATAAAACATTCAGATCAGTCCTTCCTCACGATAATACTTCGAAAAATAATAGGAATGAAAGGAGAATCTATCTCTGACGAATATATGGAAAATCTCGCCAAAGGAAGATTGACAGAAAGATAATGCATTTCTTTCTAAATTTCTATTCTTTACATGGTATACTAAGAAAATTCATATCGGATCACCGTGGAGATCCCATCTAAATATGAATTTCTTTTTTCTACGTTATACGACGCTTGCGATTAAAGTCACTTCATAGCTCTTGAGAATATTTGTAATACTTGGATGGCATAATAACTTCAAGATATATTTCGACAGAAATAATCGACCTATTTACTTGCGACAGTTATTAATGAAATTGCAGTCGTAAAAATGCGCTGCGTTAAATTGATGTTTTATTATTACCCTTTAAAATCCTAATGCGGCTTTTCATTAATTCATATTGTTATGGATTTTTATCTTCCACATTTTTTTTCTTTTTTTTTTTTACAGAAATGTAAATTTCGCTCATATTTTCGCACTACATATATGTATGTATACTACATACACACACACACACACACATACCACACACACACACACACACACACGTGTGTGTGTGTGTGTGTGAGTGTGTGTATATACAATGTATATCTTTATTCTAGATTGAAATTGAAGCTACCTTATTTGTCACAGACAATGCATAATTCACTTTAAAAGTATGGAACTAAATGCGAGAAACAATATTACATAGGTATCTTTTTTCTTTTTACGTTGATGCTGATATTAATATGAATTTAACAGTTCTAAATAGTATACGAAATCGTGTATGTATGTGCGTATATGTGCATGTGCGCACGTTGCATTTCTTTTAGAACTATCGCATTTTTCGGTGTCGCTATGGTTATTCTTGTAATTATTCCCCAAAACATTTCTATAACTGTAGAGCAACAATTGTCATGGAGTTTTTGTTAGGAATTATCGCGTCGTTATTAAATACCATCAATACATACATATCGCAAATGTGTATAGTGTGTATGATTTAAAATTCCATATGCAATAAGTTAATTGTGTATGTGTGTGTGTGTGTGTGTGTGTGTTATATATATATGCATATATATAGTTTACACACACACACACACACACACACACACACACACACACACACATCATACATAGGATGTTACAAATCATCCGCGTCATCCTTTTTAAAATAATTGTGATACTTTTTGTTATAAATTCGAATGACATGTAGGAAAATGTAAGAAACTTTCGTCTTTTTTCTGAATATGCTTTCATTGGTCTTCATCACAATAAAATTCAGTTTTTCAAAATTTACTTTCAAGATTATTTAAAAAAAAATGTTTGAGATAAAAGTTATTTATTTTTATATATAATTCGAATTTGCAATAATTATTAGGATTTTTGCCTTGAAGTGATCTCAAGAATTTATTGTTAACGGATCACGCGAAGTCTGGAACTTCTGTGTGTGTGTGTGTGTGTGTGTGTGTGTGTGCACACACATACATACATAAATACATACATATGCATACACACATGCATATATACATACATACAGATTGTCATAGAATTTGCGAATCAAACTATCACAGCAAGAAGGTCCTCAAAAAATTAAATATTTGCTTTCATTGGCCTTCATGAAAAGTTATTTGTAATTTTTTATTTACAGTAATTTTTTAAATATAAGGATTTAACTAACCAATTAGAGACTATATTTAGATGCTTATTTATGAGTGTGCTGAAGTGAGCGCTGATCAATGCTCACTAATACATGCCGCGCGTAATTCATTGACATCAGCCATCTACTTGAGAAATAAAAATTTATAAATAACTTT